GGCTGAAGGTGGTCAGGGACTGAAAGCTGAGGTGTACAGTAGAGCACTAGTTGTTTTAGATAAAATATGAGCAACTGCAGGAAATCTGTGCAGTCATCAGTCTCCTGTGGTCATATAATTTATTTGTGTTTGTTTTTTTTTTGTGGCTGTCCATGATCTGGACAAGCAGGTCAAAAAAACATGAAATCACTTTAGAGTTTTCTGTTCTACCCTGGATGACTTTTAAGCCATGTCTTACAATTCCCCAGCAGATACAGAATTAGTGTAGAGCTACTGACATATGCTCAAGTTGAAAAAGTGCTAGCTGCAGATCCTGCAGGTTAGCCTGATTTATAGACTATTTAGGAGTCTCTAAGTGTAACTTGGGGCGCAGATTTACAAATGAGTTCAAGTGGTGTTTCTAGTAGATGCACATTCATGTTGATTTCAATTTGCATTTACTTCAAAGACCATAGGTGTCTCATCAGCCTGAAATTACACTCTTTTGCCAATAAAGAAGTCATGTATGTAATTTCAGATCTTTGTCTTCTCCTTGTATGAAGGAGAAGTTGCCGGAAGTTGCCAGTTTAGACTGAATTTGGAGTGATTGGTCTTGATTGAGTGGGTGATGCTTCCAGCTAGCAAGTGTCTGCAAGCAAGTTTGTACACATTTTTCCAATACTTGAAGCAGTAAAAAAAAAAACAAAAACCAAACCCCAAAACCAATCAAAAAAACCCCATGGAAAAAATACAACAGTATTAGTGATAATAAATAAAGACATGGCAAGTACATTTCTTCCTGTAGACTCGGTATGTAAAGGTGTATTGCATAGCTGACTGGATACATGTAGATGTGCCTTAAAGTTATTTTGGTATAATATCTAAAGCTATTCTAAAATGTATGCAGTTATTTCTTTAAAATTAATCTCTAATTGCAATCTGTACTTTGTGTCTTACAGCCTTTTTAATGATACACATAGCAAAATCAGCTAGTTCATCTATGTATTGCCAGCATGCTTTCTTCCTTATCTCTTGATCCTCTTACTGAAAGATATTCCATGTATCTTTCTCTGTGCATGAATGTGTATGTCTTTCATGTGTGAAAATAACCTTCTGAAAATGATAATTTCTCCAGCAGTATGTCAGTAAACTGAAAAGTGGGATATTTTCTGACTTACAGTCTCTTTGCAACACAGTTTTTTTCCAGGGGACTTCTTTTAAAGACTTTCTTGACACAGTGGTCACATGTAACTTACTGCTTATGTAAACTTTTTCAAGATACCTGTTTAACAAGAAATACAACAAATTTTTATTCTGTCTGTTAACCTCTTAAGGGGCTAACAACAATAAGTTTAATAATCATGCTCATCACAATAAATATTTTTTTTATTCTGACTTACCATCTTAGAAGTACTCTTTTATGGTATAAACCTTGCCTATGCTAATGCACTTGTTACTATCCAGTGTTTGTCTGTCACTGGTTGGCATAGGCTGCAGGTCTTGTATAGGTCAATCACTGGGGCTGAGAGAGCTGGCTATAATTTGCATGTTAGCCAGTAGTTTGTTTCCTTACACATTCAGGAGATGTCAAATCTATGTATATGTGTGCGTGAATCAGAAATGCAAAGTTTGCATATACTTCTCTTAAGATATAGGGGGATATAAAACATTATATGAGTGGATTTAATATCCACAAATCTACTTTTGTTGGTCTTATTTTCTAGATAAGGAATCAGTTAACAAATTCAATTCCAGGTCAGTAATGAATGTTTCCCTTTTCCTATCCTCTCAACTTATTCAAAATAGCAACATATAACCAGATATTTGATCCAAAGATAACCTATAATTAGTACGAATAAATATTAAGTCGTATTTTCAACAGTTGTATACTATCTGTAGTATATGTATCAACTGAGGAGTTCCACTTTCCTTCATATTGCAATTTTTCATTCTCTCCATGCTGCTAAGATATTCACTGTTATTTGTCATTCCCGTTTTCTTTTCTTGATTTGTTTCCTGTTTTTTCCATTTGCTGTTTGCCCAGACAAGTTTTTTCTCTATCCATTTTTCATCACCTAGGTCACTGTCTTTCATAGAATCACAGAATCATATAAAGACCTTAAGATCATCTAGATCCAACACCCCTGCCATGGGCAGGGAAACCTCACACCAAACCATGCCACCCAAGGCTTCATCCAGCCTGGCCTTGAACACCTCCAGGGATGGAGCATTCACAACTTCCTTGGGTAACCCATTCCAGTGCCTCACCACCCTCATACTAAGGAACTTCTTCCTTATATCCAAACTAAACTTCCCCTATTTAAGTTTGAACCCGTTACCCCTTGTCCTGTCACTACAGTCCCTAATGAAGAGTCCCTCCCCAGCACCCCTATAGGCCCCCTTCAGATACTGGAAGGCTGCTATGAGGTCTCCACGCAGCCTTCTCTTCTCCAGGCTGAACAGCCCCAACTTCCTCAGCCTAATTTCATACAGGAGGTGCTCCAGTCCCCTGATCATCCTCGTGGCCCTTCTCTGGATTTGTTCCAACAGTTCCATGTCCTTTTTATGTTGAGGACACCAGAACTGCACACAATACTCCAAGTGAGGTATCAGAAGAGCAGAGTAGAGGGGCAAGATCACCCCCTTCCACCTGCTGGTCACGCTCCTTTTGATGCAGCCCAGGGTACGGTTGGCTTTCTGGGCTGCGAGCACACACTGAAGCCAGCTCATGTTCATTTTCTCATCGACCAACACACCCAAGTCCTTCTCCACAGGGCTGCTCTGAATCTCTTCTCTGCCCAACCTGTAGCTGTGCCTGGGATTGCTCCGACCCTGGGATTGCTTCCTTCCACTTTGTCATTTTTTTCAGTGTTTTATTCCGTGTTTCTTTTTCTTACTATATTGCTACAAACTTATCCAGTGTGGGTGTCAAGGGAATAGGATCTGTTGTTTTTTCCTGAGCAGAGGTTAAATCCTCAGTTGGGTATGACTGGAAATTCTGCTTTGTGCTTCATGGTCAGAAAAGTGTACCAAAGTCAGGCTATGAGAGAGCAAGAGGGAACACCACCCAAAACCAGTTGCTTGCGGCTGACTTCGATTGTTAAAAATGGTGACAGAAACCAGAGGGGAAGACAGTGCTTCAGGAGGAGTTTTCAGCTAGCTGTCTGAACGCTCTGAGCGCTCAGAGTGGGGCTGCTCCATGGGCGAGGATTAGCCAGGAGCTGTAGGTGCTGCAGGACTGGCAGGGAAATACTGCTGCTCTTGGGGCATTCTCCTAAAGCACCCTACTGATGCTGGGCTGGAGACACTGACAGGTTGCTCCCACTGTCCTGTGGTTATTGGACAAGGCAGGGTAAGGAGTCAGATCCAAGGCAGACCTGGGGACCCAGTGAGGGCAGGACCCAGGCTGATGGACTGTATGGGCACAGTTTCCTGCAGCATAGCTCAGGCAGGGACTGATGGCCCTGGTCGTGCCCTCGGGGAACTGTTACTGATTTGTCCTCCAGAAACTATGCTTAAATTGCAAGTCCTTCGGAGACAGCATCTAAGCCTATTATCTGTCAGTGAAAATGTCAATAGAAATTTTGATTCACCATAAGTAATATGCATCTGATAATTTTCTGGCTCTGGTATTCAGGTGTTTCAAAAGTTTTGGTATATGAGTGCTAAAATGAAGCCATTGAAGAATTCCAGGGGTTTTGAGAAAATGAGATATCTTTCTTTCAAATGCCTTTTCTTATCTAAAAGAATCAGCATAGATGTCTCCTGTGGTTATTTTTGGGGTGTTTGTTTTCTTTTGTGAGCTGGTTTTGATTTTTAGGTTGGTTTTTCTTTTGTGTTTAGTTTTGGGTTTGGTTTTTTGTTTGTTTCTTTGTTTTGTTTTTTGCCTTTTTTGGGGGTTCTTGTTTTGTTTGTTTGGTTTTGTTTTATTTTGAAATCACTGTCAGTAGCTATGTACCTTTATTTTTCTGCTTTTCAAATCTCTTTTTATATCTTCATGAGAGAGTCTTGACTGAAAAAAGGACCTAGTAGTCCGGTTGCATGAATTTTATATGTGTGTGTTCATCATATCAAATGTAAAGTGTCAGTATCAGTTTCCCATAACAAAGAGCTTTTTAGCTGTGGTTTTATTATTTGTCATTTTGAGTTGAATAATGGATAAAAGCAAGCTCTTTCAGGGAGGAGAATGCAAGAGTTAACAAGTGCTCCGTGTTTACTTATGCTACCTGTGATGGTTAGCATATATATATGTGTGACTTTTATTAAAAATTAACAGAATTGTATGAATTGCCTTCTGTCTAAAAATTAAAAACAGAAGAATGCAAGAAGGTAACGTTGCATCGTTGTAACAATATATAGGTCAAAATCTGACTTTTGAGAAATTTTACGATTTTTCTCTTCAGTTTCCACTCTTCCTTTTTATCAGACATAGAACAAAGAAAGGATACAAAACCCGGTAACTTCAGATCTAATTTTGACAAATTGTTCTCATGCTTGATTTGAACTAGTGCTATTACATCAATTGGAATTTCTCAGTTAGATACAGGTGACTTAGGTTGCCATACAGAAGTGTAGGGATACCTGTGAAAAGCAACAGAAACATTATCCAGTGCAGCAAAGTATTTAATAAAGGTTTCAAGTGGGAGTGCACATGTGCTTAAGAGGAAATGCTTGTTTATTTAGGGCAGAAAATACCCTGGAGCTAGCACTTCATTTGATACCCTTCCTGAAAGCAGCAGTGTTTGGGCTGTGGTTTGGTTTGGAAGCATGTGCAGGAGCAGAAATATTTGGTTTGCGGTATAACCTCTGACAAGCTTGTGGCTTTAACTTTCAGCTCTCTTACCTTACGTATCTTTGGAAACACATAGCTAACCATGGTGGCTACAGCTCATAAAACATTTGTGAGCCTTGGCATGGAAGTAGTGTGGGAATTTAATTGTTTGGTTTGTTCTTTTAGAATAGATTTATGCCAATATGAATGTGTCTGTTGATTTGTCTTGCTTCTTTTTTCTTGGCCGCAGGCTGACTGAGTGGGCTGGACTTCACTGGGAGGAGCCATTTTGCTGTGAAGTGGAGTAACTGTGGATCTCTCCCCATGCTGCTTGCTGGGAAGTGCTGTACATTGCCAGGATTAAGCCAATGCTGAAGCCTGGGATGAGCCTTAGGGGCAAACACTTCCTTGCTTCTTCTGATGTTGGGATTTTTCTGTGGCCAGTCAGCTGAGACACCTACCACACATTAGCTTTTGTAGTTTTGCTGCTTGAACAAGGTTACATTTTCCCTCACTTCGTCTCCTTTTGACTACTTTTTTATGTTATTAGTTTTTATTTTCCTTGACTGACTAATTTTCTCCTGGCTGTGGAAGAAAAGGGCCCTGCTGATGTTGATTTAAATAATGTCGAAACCAATGGGACTCCTATGGCTGCCTTTGATCTTCACCCCAGTGTGTGTCATGTTGAATTCTAACTTCCTGCTGTGGATAACTGCACTGGCTATAAGATTTACTCTCATTGATGGCCAAGCACAATACCCAGTTGTTACCACGAATTATGGCAAAATACGTGGTTTAAGAACGCCTTTGCCTAATGAGATCCTTGGTCCTGTGGAGCAGTACCTGGGTGTTCCTTATGCCTCTCCTCCGACTGGAGAAAGGCGTTTTCAGCCCCCAGAGCCACCATCATCTTGGACGGGTGTCCGCAATGCCACACAGTTTGCTGCCGTCTGCCCTCAGTACCTGGATGAGAGGTCACTGCTCAACGACATGCTGCCAGTCTGGTTTACAGCCAATCTGGATACTGTAGTGACATATGTTCAGGATCAAAATGAAGACTGTCTGTATTTGAATATCTATGTGCCCACAGAAGATGGTAAGTACTCCAAGGATCACACAACCATGCACTCACCAGTTATGCACATGAGTAGTAGCCAAATCTTAAAAGCATCTTGCTCAGTTTCCTCCATGTTTAGTCTGTGGAAATAGATCATGCCTCTGAACATGCATTATAAGTAATACTCTGTTGATTGAACATGCTTACATGAATTCTCTCTCATGTTTCAGTGTAACATCAAACCGCAATTTCATTTGCAGGCAGTAGCCAGAGTGCGTAAGCCAGTTTGAAGTTTACATTTACAGTACAGCTGAGCATCATTCATAAGAGAGGAAAGCGGGAATGATCAATAACCAGAAGTAATACATTTATTTTCCATGCATTAATGGTACAAATACTGTCACATACTAATTTTTAAATGAGAATCTCGCCTCTTACTTTTTTGTTTAGTTTTATTACAATACCTCTGAGCCTATTGTTAACTCTGATTTTAATAGACAATAGAAAATTGTTATAGTAGTTCAATATGCTGGTTTAGTTTCCAGGATTTTTACCTATGAAACTTTTCAGTCCAACTTATTTTTCTTCATTCATTAAATCTAAAATGAAGTAAACATGATAGTATTATGCAGAGCTGAATAGGTAGCTTTAAACTTTCGTCGGTTTTCTGCAGTCTTCTGAAGAGGACTACTTTAAACTACCTTCTGTAGGCAAAAAAGAATGAACGCAATTGGTAACACACAACTCTTTGAACTTCATAATCTCAGACTTAAAATTTCTAGCTTTATGGCATGCTGAATGTGTCTTTTGTTGTTCTGAATGGTATTGCTCCTCACAGACAAGAAGACCTGTTTTCATCAGGTCCCTAATGAGTTAAGTTATTTGATATCACAGGGATACAAGAAATTCTACTGGCAGTTATATTTGATATTCTGCTAAAAGCCAGTTCTTTCAGCCACTTAGAGCGCAGTTACCAATGCATAACCTGACAGATTTCTCCCAGATAATGCAGATCCCTTCACTTTAGCTGAGGGTTTGATTTGCATAACCAAGGCATTGTTATTTCTCAGTAACCATGCTCTAAATATGCAAATTTTGTACTTTGATTATTATAATCCTTCTGCCTTGATTGGCTTCTTTACTCAGAATTTCCAAGCTGTTTGCCAGCAATAAACATGCCACCTTCTTTTCCTGTTCTCATCAGCTGAAGCAAAATCTTGAAAGTTAAAATTAAAGGAGTAAGGTTTGGGAGTACTGGGGGCTCTGCAAATATAAATACTACTAAGCTGCTTAAATAGAAAGTACTCTGAAAGTAAAGATGTGTGTATGGAGGCTCTGATGCACATGTGTGTGTGTGCATGCATGTAGACGAAGGGGCAGATCATTCTAGTCAGTTCTTTCCCTCTTCCAGGCTCATTGCGCTGTATCTCACTCCTTGGGTAGTAAGATAGATAATTCTTTCCCAAATTTGTTTATGTTCTGGATTTGTAATGCAGCTTTTATTTAGTCACTAGGTAAGTTTGCCCTAAGAAAGCATTTCAGGTTAAGATTTTATTTGTTCTTGCTGTGCAGGTATCTGAGCTTTGCTAACTCAGTCTTATTTCAAGGCCCTAGTAAAAAGACTTTTCATCCATTAATTAAGGAAGACAGGAAATTAGATATGGCAAAATATATACAGATATCTAGGAAAAGTATATTTGATATTGAATAGATAATAATAAAATACCATGTGCTGAATGACTAAGAATCTGTAAAATTCCTTATCTTGCCTGTAATAGCTAATAGCATTTGCTCTTAGATCAAAAAGAGAAAGGACTGATAAATTTATATTTTGTAGATGATTTTTTCTGCTTAATTCCAAAATTTGGAATTGTGTTCCTCTCGGTTTTAGGTTTTGTTTTTACACTGAATAGCATCTACATTGAATCTGTCTTCTTTCATTTATCCTTTTTAAAACATAAACCTATGCATAAAAAAGTATATAGCTGAATAATGAGAAACAAGGTTTAGTGTCAGTGATGAAGGTAAGATTGCTTCTGTACAATATAACAAGCATTGTTAACAGGTTCCAATGGGGAAATGGGAAACTTAATAAATGGAGTATAGGATGTTTTAATTGTATGCTGTATATCCTATTACCAGTTAAATATAACTTGGCTTTTTTGGTGAAGAAAATATGCAACCTTCTGCTCGTAAAGATAATTAAGGACTGACCTACAGATTACATCTCCTAAGTTAGTGTGTGTCCAAATGATGCTAAATGTGAACAGCCTTTAATTGTAGTCCATACAATCTGATTAAACGCATTATGATTCATTATATGAGTTTTAGTTGGCAAAAATAAGCTATGTTGTTATGGAGACAGACCATGAAATTAGTTTTTGAAGCAAAATCTCAGAGTGAATGACTTTGAGTAGAATTTACATTTTCAATTCTTTCACAAGTACAGATGCATTTAAAAAAGATTTGAAACTGTTTTGTGTCTGGGAGAAAAGGTGGATGGAATCATCCAAACCTAATTAATGTTCTGACTGTGAAACATAATCTGAATAATTTTCTACTTTTTTTTTTAAACTTTGGTGAAAAACATGAATGAACTAAGTGTGGTTACACACAGTGCTTACTTCAAACCAATCCTAGTAAATATCTAATCAGAATATAGCTTGGGTTTGGTTGGGTTTTTTGGTTTGCTTTGCTGCTGGTTTGTTTGGCTTTTTTTTTTTTTTTTTTCACTGTATAACATGACCTGTTTCTTATCGCATGTGTGGTTTGGTCAAAGGGAACCAAATTTTGATCATGTACTTTGAATGAACAATTGAAGAATAAATGCACACATCATTCATGTGATTGCAGAATTGCTTCTCCAGCATTCTGCCAGTGTAAATGAATGAAAATGAGAGTAGAATACAATCCCTTTAACTGGGTAGATAAGATCAGTTAGTTATAGTAAAATAGTTTTAAATGTTGGTACTTCTATTGAATTAAATGACATAAAATTCCATAATTCCTTAAAATAGTTAGAGCGTCTGGGCTAAGAAATTAAAAGTGCCTTGTTATACAGCTTATGTCTGTGTTAATCATAGCCTTTCTTTTGACGCTGAATTTCAAATGTCAAATAGCAGCAGAATCCTGTCAGAATTTTCTGTGTTAAAATGTTCTCACAAGGCAAAAAGCATCTTTGATTTTAGGGGCTTTTTTTTTGTTTTTAATTTTTGGTGAAAATATTTTTCATAATAGAAATCAAAACACATAACAGAATATTTCTGGAATTCTGGCTATGTGGATTTTTATTCTTTTGCTGCTGTTCACTGGACAAGAGGTTTTTACTGACACTTTCCTTAGGGTAACATTTGTGTTTCAGAGAATCTGGGGTAGCTGAAGAATGATAATGGGTTTTTTTTTGCCTTTGCCTTTGGAAATGAAAGAGTTGAGCCACTATAATCCATTCAGGTTTGTTTTATTTTTTCATAGTAAGTATAAAAATGCAATTATTTTAAAGAGATGCAGTACGAGCAACAAAGATAAAATTTCACAAGTTTTATGTGTCAAAGCTGTCATCATAAGAAATTACTCAGAACTGAAGCAAATAAAATATTTATAGTGAAATTATCATTTTATCAAAATTACTTTCTAAACAATTGGGTTGATCTTCAGAATCATTTGTGTGGGTTTGTATTGTCTTGTCTGTAATTTTCCCCAAGAATACTTGAATGTCAGGTTTGAGGAGGTCATCTAGGGAAATGATATTGAGGACAGTCTGTTTATCATATCTTCAGTCTGAATATGGGTTTATCTACAGTGGAAATGCTAGATTGAAGAGGACACAGACTGTTAATCGGCTGTGTTTAATCCCTGGCCTTTATCATTTGAATCTGTGGATGCTGAAGGAGATTGCTAACTCCTATCGTAACTGGGAAAAAAAAAAAAAAAAGCAACAAAACCCAGAAAAGACCCTTGATTTGGATTTCTTTCACAGTAAACTTCAAAATTTTATTAGTAACAAGGAAAGATAAAAATTAAAAAAAAAACAGCAAACAAAACTCAACATGAACAAATCTTTATTTGTTTAAAACCCGCTCTGCTCTGATCAAAAAGGAAGATAGAATAAAAAGATGTCTTTTTGTTTTCTTAACATGATCAATAGTAAGTGTATAAACTTATTTTGGTATGTGGATAGAAGGTACTTTTTACACAAGTGCACAGCTACTCAACCACCATATAACTGTTAAGGATTAACTAATGAAGTATTCAGCATCTTCAGAGGTTTATTCACTGAAAATGCTCTGTGAACTCTTGTCTCATTTATATTACAACAAATACAGCTGAAGTGACAACAAAAGGTGATAGGCCATGATACTTATTAAAGCTGACTGGGTAGGTCATAATTTTTTCATTAGATTAGGGAAACTGAGAATATTGTCCAGAATTAATGGTATGTTTAACTGTGAGCTACCAGGAAGAAAAAAGTCTTGGTCAAGAGCAGAGAGATCAGCAATGTTCCTTCTCTGGGCAATCATGTGAAGTGAAGGTACCTTCATTTTTTTAGACTCTGTGTCTGTTTGACTAAGAAATAGAGAAAGTAAAAACTTGAACAAAGCTGATAAACAAGATATGCCTTAGCTGATTTCTACAGCCTGTATATAGGTTCGCTTTTTCACATTAGTCGAATGCCTGCTTAGTATATAAGTGAGTGTTTGCAGCCTTCTCCTTGTCATTGCTCTTGAATTGTAGTCTCTGTTTAACTTGGAAAAGTATTTTTAGCAAAATTATACTGATAAAACCTAACTGATAATTTTATTTATTTATTTATTTATTATTTTTGTGGGAAAAAGGAGGTGATAGCAGAAAGATGAGTCCTATCATTACAATTACTTGATTGCATGGAATAAAAATATTACAATTACTTGATCACATGGAATAAAAAAAAAAACTTCAATGGTTTCTTTAATAATATATGAAACAAGAGTCTATACATAAAATAGTAACATAGTGTACAAGACAGATGCAGTATTGTACAATATTATTTTCGTTGAATTATT